GTGGACTATGGATCCAAATGGATTGAAGAATTACCCAAAGTAGTATGGGGACTACGAACTCAAATAAGCAGAGCCACCGGATACTCACCTTTCTTCCTAGTTTACGGATCAGAAGCCGTACTACCTACCGACTTGATCTAGACGTCACCAATGATAGAACAATATGACGAAGGAGAAGCAAAACACACCCGAAGATTAGAACTCGATAGTACAGAAGAAGTCAGAGTAAATGCTACCCTTCAATCAGCCAGATACCTCCAAGGTTTAAGACGCCACTACAACAAGAATACCCAGCCTCGATCACTCCAAATCAGAGACCTAGTACTAAGAAGAATACAAAAAACTGACGGATGCCATAAACTACTCAGTCCATGGGAAGGTCCTTTTATTGTCACAAAAGTCACCGGACCAGGCACGTACAAGTTGATAACTGAAGATAGAAAAGAAGTCAACAATACATGGCACATCAGCCAACTAAGAAGATTCTACGCATGAAAACAACTCAAGGAAGAATATATATACAAGCAACAAGAGATCAACGTTCATGATCAATAAAGATGGTGTTCCTCGACAACATATGTCTTATTATGGCTTTCCCCAAGTTGTTTTCACTAAGCATACCGGCCGAGAGCAAAAGAGCTAAAAAGATGCTTGAGTCCGCCGATGAGGGTAGCTAATAAGCTAACACCCGAACCAAAAAGCAAAATAGCTGAAATTATGCCTGAGCATACTGGCCGAGAGCAAAAGAGCTAAAAAGATGCTTGAGCCCGCCGATGAGGGTAGCTAATAAGGTAACACCCGAACCAAAAAGCAAAATTGCTGAAACTATGCCTGAGCATACCGGCCGTGAACAAAAAAACTGAAAAGATGCTTGAGCTTGCCGATAAGGGTAGTTGATAAGCCAACACCCGAACCGATCCTAAGATGTTTTTACAACCAGGGAAAGAGCCAGATGCTGGCCACATCTCGAGTTAAGCAAAAAAAGCTAAAAAGAAGAAGCTGAAGATACTTGAGATCGCTGGTCCTAAGTCTTTTCAGTACTAACAAGAACAAAAAGGTTGTCAAGACAAAGATCTACTTACCCCGAGTTGTTTACACGACGTAGACGAAAGCCAGACAAGCACTCGGCAAATCAAGAAAGTTTGTCAAGACAACGATCTACATATACCGAGTTGTTTACATGGTGCAGACGAAAGCCAGACAAGCACTCTACAAATCAAGAATGTTTGTCAACACAACGATCTACATATATCGAGTTGTATACATGGTGCAGACGAAAGCCAGACAAGCACTTGACAAATCAAGAAGATTTGTCAAGACAACGATCTACATATACCGAGATGATTACACGGCACAGACAAAAGCCATACAAACGCTCGACCTATCAAGGAGCGATCCTACAACGGATGAAACAACACGACCACCATAAACTGTGGATGCGCACCACGACCAACAAATGACTACTCAGAAAAAAAATTCTGATCACTTGGACAACTCATTTAAAGAATAAACAAGGCGAAGACATCCAGGCAAAGAAGATATCAACAAAAAATAAAGAATCTTCATTCAAAAAGAAGTATAATATCCTATTACAGAGGCTGGAGTACAAAGATCAATTACATCAAGCATCATCATCAGGAGAATAAATATCAATATTAAGATTATCCACAATCCTCCTGGCTAAATCTTCGACCTCAGGCTCCACCTTTTCAACGGCATCCAGATATTCTTGACTCTCGGCTTCCTCTGCAATCTTGGACAAAGGGACCTCCAGAGCAAGAACATTTCTGATACATAGTTGGGCGCACCTCTTCACGAACTCCTGGAAACGGGTCGGAACTTGGGGAATAAACTGAGCCCAAGATTGACCATCATCTGTTGGAGTCCGGAGAAGGTCGACTACTGACCGAAATGATTTCCACAAAGCATTCTAGTTCTCAGTAGCCGTCGCCACCTTGCTAGTCAAGACTTCAACAATTTTTTGGACCTGCACAAGATCCCTATCAGCTCCACGCCTAATCAACTTGGCAAGCGCGAGTTCTTTTTCAGCACGAGTAATTACCTCCTCAGCCCTGTTGTGATTATTGCGAACAAGTATCTTCATTTCCTCAATACCCTCCGAGAGCTTCTACTTTTCAACTCAGAGAGCTAGACCAGGCACCAAAAAATAAGTCAGCAAAAAGGGAAATTTTAATACAAAAGGAAACAAAAAAGAACCCGCAATACCATTGCACTCATTCTTCATGGCCTCTATATTCTTCATGGCCTCCACATTCTTCAAGGCCTCCTGGACAGCAGCATCCCTCTACTCTTCTGCCTCAACCACCCGGGCACGGAGAGCCTGTTCCTCCCTCTGGTGCGTTTGACACTCGGTCTCCATCTCGGCCCGACAGAGGTCAAGCTCTATTTTTAGGGCACTAACCTCATAAGACAATTTTTTCTCGGTTTCAGACAAGAAAAAGAAGCCGGTATGATCCCAAGAAAAAGACTGAACAAAAAGAGAGAGAGAAAAACAAGACATAAGAACAGAAGAAAGACGAACATCCAAAGAAAGAACTTCAGAAAATACTTACCTAAAGTTTTTCCCCAAAAGAAGTCACAAAGGTTCCCCAGGCAGCGGTTAGCTCTGACAACCAATAAGTGGCATCGAATTGTTGCAACACATCATCATCCAAACGCTGACCACCAGTATCAAGAGGAGCAGAGGGAGAAGTTGGCTGATGCAAAGAAGGCAAGACTAGGGCCGTATCCTGGGAAGCCTCGGCTACCTCCTCAGATGGATCCACCGCCACGGCCACGGTCACCCTCGGAGTCAGCAAATCCGCAGCAGCGTGATCACTAGGAAACCCTGTCTCCCTCACAGCCACCTCGCTGACCGTACATTTCGAGTCCTGAGACTCAGTACATAGGGGCGCACCAGAGGACTAACAAGAGGTCGACTGAGGGTTAAGGGAAGGCGAGGGTCTACAAGATGATAAGGAAACTCTATGATAAAAATATGAATCAGAAAAAAGAAAAACAGAAGCAAAGAAACATAACCAGGATTCACTCACTTAGCTATCTTCTTCTTCATAAAACCCCCAAGACGAACAGAAGACCTTAGAGGGGGAACTATAGCAGCAAAAATATCACCGCCACTCTGCGACAGGAGTGGCGTGGTTGGTACCGGAGCCCTAAAAGAACTCGAGCTCGACGACCGCTTACTACAAGAGAACAAGGCCAAAGTTAGAACAAAAAGAGGTGTTCAACAACAGAAAAACAAGAAAACAACTCACCAACTCATGACAAGGGCCGCATCATCATCCTCATCTACCTCACTCTCAAACAAGTCAACCACAGCGCCATCTGAAAAAGGAGAAAAGTACTCGGTTAAAGGCACAAACAAACAACAAAAAGACAAAACGTATTAATATGCTCACCTAGGAGCACGCTACCAATAACTTGAGTACCTAGACGAGTACTCGACTGGCGAGACCTCTTGGTTGCAGACAAACTAGAAGAAGAACAATCCGCTCGCCCCCTTTTTCCGACACTACGAGGAGCTCGAGGAACTGGACGAGGAACATAATCTACATATGCGTCAAGAACTGCGGAATAAACACTAGGAAACATCGTAGTGGTTTGAAACTTACTGGTTAAAGATGCCCCAGCAAGACTCTCCCCAGTCTCCACCATGGCAGGGCGGTCATCAAGGGGGATCGGATCAACGAAGTTACGCCCCAATTCCTATAAAAGAGTAAAACAACCAGACGAGAAAGATTAAGCAAAAAGTGGAGACAGCAAAGGAAATACAAAAAGTACCCGCATAAGAAAAAACAACTCACAGCAGGAGGCGGGTTGTTAGCACAATACTCAGGGACAGCATGCGGGACGACGCTTACTCCTTTCAACATCTTCTGAAGGCGCTCGGGCACCTCCTCATTAGTCAACTCAAGCGCAGGGACCATACAAGAAGGGTCCTCTGCCCCAGAGTACTCAAAACCATAATTCTCTCGCTCCTTTAGAGGTTGAACACGACGGTGAAGAAAACTGGAAACGATCCCGAAGCCGGTCAAGCCTTGCTGTTTCAGAGTACATATCCTCTCAAGAAACGGCTTGATCGCCTGGAGCTCATCCATCGTCAGGAGATTCTTTTCCCATCGGTCATTAACCACGGGACCAGAACCAGAATGAACAGCAAGAGGAGGAATCATATTGGTGGCATAAAACCAGTTGGCATGCCAATCCCTCACAGAATCAACCAAGTCATAATCAAAGAATTTACTCTTACGACCCTGACTGTGGGGGTATTAACCCCTATACCCTTACGGTTAGGATTGGGCCGGCCCGGACCAGAGGGTCTGGCCCACTAGAAGATGACGCGCAGCCCGACCAATTTGCTTGGAGTCCCGCGCAAGGAATCAAGACAGACTTGGAGATCAAGCAAGATCCTGGTCGGTTAGAATAGGAATCCTTATCCGACCACCTATGGCAATTGTAACTGGTCAGACTATATAAGGCGGACAGGGGACCTCTCTCAAACCATCTCTCATTGACATACAGCAATACAATCAGACGCAGGACGTAGGTATTACGCCTTATTCTTAGTTAAATATCTTAGATGGTGTTTGGTTCAATGAGCGGTAATGCAATAGGAAATGGAATCAGATAATAGTGTAAGCTAGGATGCTTGGTTGTCATTTTGTCTAGAAATGCGTTACATTTTAGTAAACCAAACAGTATATGTAACCTTGTATATGGATTAACAACACGAGATTTACATTATTAGTACATGAGAAATATTTTTATATTTTTATTTTAAATTTAAATAGTGTATTTGATAAATTTGATCAAAGTTATAAAAAAAATGGTTGACTTGATAATCCGGTTTTCCTGAAGGTAGCACTCCTGGCCTACTTGACAGTGAGAGGGACGGAGGGTACATGCCCTGGCCGAACCATAGTAGTTGAGCTCGCCGAGTCGCCGCCGCCGTGCTCGCCGGATTCCAACCATAAGCCGGTATGGCAGACCGTTTCTTCCCCAACGACATACCCGACTCAATCGAGGAAGGCGCCGCGTCCTCTCCGGCCGCTGAACTCTCCTCCTCCTCGCTCCATACATTCCTATCCCTCCCGTACCCCACCCTCGCCGACCGCTTCCTCCGCGCGGCGCTCGATCTCAACCAGAAGGCAATCGATTACATAGCACCCTACACTGCGTACTTCGTGCGGTGATAATTTTAGCGTCCTCTGCCGTCTCAGGTTGTGCACGAGACTTGGGAGAAGGAGCAGCAGCATTCGACGGGGGACTTCACGCTATACACGGGGGCCCTTGGCACCGCGCTCCTGCTCTTCAGGGCCTTCCTTATCACTGGCGACCGCGCCGACCTCGCTACCTGCACCGAGATCGTGTCCGCTTGCGACGCGGCGTCTGCGGGCGAGGAGGAAGTGTGCGGCCGTGTGTTTTCCACCGCTTCGTCTGTGGTCTTGTAAGGCCGGGTCGATTTGGAATTGCTGCATGTTCGTGACATTCATATGCGGGCGAGCTGAGGTCTGCGCCCTCGGCGCGGTGGTGGCGAAGCACACCGGCGACGAGGCCACCCTCGCGCGTTACCGGAGCTCGTTTAAGCAGGTAATTTGATACGGTACAGACGCTTCGTGCCAGTTTCTCGTGAGAACGGATTCTTCAGAGTAATTAGTGTTCGCCGTTACTCTCGTTCACAATGAGTGAACTCTTCGTTTTGACAAAAAATGTTATGGCATAATGGACATTAGTGGCTTATAGATTGTGATCTGATTTGATGTGCTGCATTTTGCTTTCTATCCTTTGCCCCTTTTGTCCTTTGAAACCACAACCTATTTATACAGAACAATGAATGAAAGGCCCTAGTTTTTATGTTTGAGACGGTAAATTTTCCATTGGTCACACGCTTAAATGTAAACTACCCCCTTCTTGATTGAGTTAGCTTATATAGGTTTTTATTACCTACAAAAGTACAAATTAACCTTCATTCATTTGAAATATATATAGAAACACAGCCACAGTGCTTCTTACCCTTTGTATATGCTAAAAGTGCCAAAGATTTACTGTAGGATAAGTATTTTGTTGCCACAAAACAACAGTTTTTACTACTTCCATAAAAGTATGGCAAAGTCATCATATGAAGAGAAGCCATGAAAAAATGATTTATCTTCGTTTCACCATACTTCAACACCTATTGGTATGTCTATGGCTATTTAGAACTTATAGCAGTAGGCTTCTCAGCTTATGTTTTATAAGCCTGAAATGTTATCATACATTTTGGAGCACATCATACGTTTCTCTGCCATTCTGCCAATAACTTGATTCCCCTGAAATAGATCAAAATTTCTAGTAATTCCCTGACGAACTCTTATATGGGAAAGCTGGATATTTGTGGACCTGCTCCTTCCTAAACAAGCACCTTGGTGAGAAACTGAGAACACGATACCGTCAAGGACCACAGTAAGTATGCATTCAAATAGTAAATAGGTTTGTTGAACATCTTCCGTTTCTATTGGAGCGAGTTGATGATTTATCAAAGTGAAATTTTACAGGATATGATCGTGAGAGAGATTATCAAAGATAGATGGTAGAAGGTTATCTACCAAAAGCTGCCCATTGATGTATGAATGGTATGGTGTAAAGTATTGGGGTGCTGCTCATTGGCTTGCAGGGATTATGCATGTTTTGCTGGACATGGAGTTGACAGAAAATGACAAGGAATATGTCAAGGGAACTGTGCAATACATGATTCAGAACCGTTTCCCTAGTGGGAATTACCCTTGCACCGAAGGAGATAACTATGATTGCCTTGTGCACTGGTGCCATGGGGCTCCTGGCATTTCCCTCACCTTGGTTCTTCTTATGATGTTAAATCAGCTCAAGCCTTTATTTCTGTTTCTGCTCTTTAATCTTTGCAACTTTAGTTTTGTATCAAAATACTGTTCTCAGGTGTTCCCAGAAGAGAGGTTTTTGGACACAGCCTCAAATGCAGCTGAGGTAATTTGGAATCGAGGGCTTCTGAAAAGAGTAGGGATATGTCATGGAATAAGCGGGAATGCCTATGCATTTCTCTCACTTTATCGCCTTACGAAGAAAAAGGAGTACCTCTACCGTGCTAAAGCTTTTGCTTGTTTTCTCCTTGACCGAGCAACAAGTTGAAGGAGCTTCTCTCACTGGACAAGGCATCATGCACGGTGGCGATGAGCCATACTCACCATTTGAAGGACAAGCTGGAATGGCATATCTGTTTCTAGACATGATTAACCCCCTCGAGTCTAGGTTTCCAGCTTATGAACTTTGAACTGCGCACTTGCTCCTTTATTAGCAGTTGCACTACTGTATCAGTTTTTTTTTTTTTTTGAAACGGTCGGCAGGAGCTCTGCCGAACTTGTATTGAACTGTATCAGGTTACATATATGTTGCATAAGATGCAATCATTATATATGTTTGCATCAAGTCAAACAGTATCTGTAGAACCTATAAATCAAAGGTTGAAATAACCTAAGGTATGTGTTGGATTTGATTCTGCCCTTGGCTGATTATCCAATTTATGGGTATAACCTAAGCAGATGTTTATTTCTTCTGCAAGACTGCAACAGGAAGCAGGATGCTGGCTCTTAGGAGCTTCCCAGTGGTAACTGATCAGCGATCATATCTGTCAATGAAAATGAACTCTCGAAAGGGTGCGATTGATAACGAGCAGCAGAGTGGGCACCTCTATGTTCTCTCTATGCCCTGATCTCATCACGCCTATTCTTTGTTCTAACTACTTCATTGCATTTCCGTTTTGGTCCACTTGATGGTTGACCGTTGACATGCATTACTGGAACAGTGAAACTTAAGATGAGCATACTATGCTGGCATCTTATCCAGCTTTGTTCCCTTGCAGCGAATCTGAATTTAAAAGCAGAGTTCTAGTGTAGTAGTGAAGAAAGCAGAGTTCACTATATTAGCAGGTGCATACAATTCGATGTGCAGTTCTCCGAAAGTTATGAGATGGAAATATCCCGACACTTGCATATTTTTCCATGTTTATTACACCGTACTCCCTCCGTTCTAAATTATAGGTCGTTTTAACTTTTTTGATTTATCCATTTTACTATGCATATACCAAAAAAGTCAAAACGATTTATAATTTGGAACTGGAGGAGTATAAAACAATTGACTTCCTTGATGTGTGAAAAAAAAAAAAAAAAATTCCAAATTGTATTTTGTTCTGTCTAAGTCAAACTTTTCTAACTTTAACAAAGTTTAGAGAAAAATGCATCAAAATCTGTAACAAGAAATTAGTTCTATTGGATATGCTATGAAATATATTTGGTTATGTTAATATTTTTTATATAAATTTGGTTAAAATAAAAAAATGATTTAGGACACAACTAAAACGAAGTACAGTTTAGAACTTTAGAAATGACAGAGTATTTAACTACGGCGTGTTTTACACGTACTTACTTTCCTGCAGGGAGAATTTCCCAAGACCACATGGAACTCGAGCATAATCGAATCGAGGCACAGCAGATATCTCTTTCTCTTCGTTCAGCATGGAATGCCATGGCTACCACATGCATATGGCGTAAGTATCGCTCAAATCAACGTGTGTGTGTGTGTATGAATCGCTCGCCATCTCGCTCGTTTCTCTTCTACTAATCGTTTATTACGCCAAAAAATGGTCACGATTCATGAGAGCCAAGTTGTGGTCGTGAACATGTGCCCACGTTAACACGGCGGGGATCGATGGCCTTACGGTCTGCATGACGCGTATATATAACCCTAGGCATAATTAACCGATGACTGAAAACCGAACCAAAATACCCGAGACCGAGACCGAAAATTTCGGTTATAAGTTCAGTCTTTGATTTAAGTAACCGAACTAACAGTACTTAGTTCGGTCATTATACTCGGGTAACCGAACAATCCGAAATACAGAAAAGGCCTGTTAAACACCTTGCAGCCCAGAGCCCAACACTGGCCCAATATTTAGCAACCCTAGACCCAGGCTCTCAATCCTCCACGCCGCCGCCACTCCCACCCTCGGCCTTTCCCCTTCTGTCTGCCGCACCGCAACCGCACGACCCGGACGCACGGTACAGCCACCTTCCGCTCGGCACTCGCTACCCTCCTCTGCCCGCCTCGTCTCCTGGTGCAGTGGTGCTGCCGTGCTTGGTTGCTGGCGGTCCAGCACTCTCTATGCGGCCACTGACGGCCGCCCAACCCTGGCTCCCTGGCGGATTTGGCGCGGACGGTCATGGCGATGACGAGGAGACACTGGCTCCCTGGCGGATTTGGCGATGATGGCCAGATCTCCTTCAAGATCAAACCTGATGAAATTCGTGCTTCTTTTTTTATGATCTATGCTGTGATTTCTGAATCGACTTGAATGTGATTCGTTCATGCAGAGACTACATACATGCTTCACTTTTTTTTTTGTTGATTTGTGCTGGTTTTATCCTCGTTGTGTTTATTCTGAATGTGTGGATTTGCTGCAAACAAAAAAAAGGTCGGGTAGTTCGGTTGTGACCAGGACCGAAACCGAAGTAGCCGAGACCGAATTCCTCGGTCCGATCGGATCACATTTTCTGGTAACCGAAATTTCATAAAACTGAGGAACCGATCGGTTTATATATATATATATATATATATATATATATATATATATATATATATATATATATATATATATACACACACACCTAGGTGTACAATATTATTCTACACCACATGTCAAAATATTGAGTAGTACTGAGTCTCGTTTAATATCACTCGGTACTATACCCAGCGCCACGAAATACTGAACAATACTATATATATATATATATAATAACTCTATAGCTAGCTACAAAATAACTTATTCTGTAGCCACTTTGAGTTACGATAATTACTATATTAATTTACGAGATTATATTAACTCCTTACTAAGTGATTTACTATAACGTTATGGTAAATATCCCCATATGTTATAGTAACCCAACTATCGTAAATATGTATTGACATTATCGTAAATTAGTATATAAAATTATCGTAAATAGAGGTGGCTACAGAATAACTTATTTTATAGCTGCCTACTGAATATACTCTCTCTCTATATATATATACAACTAAAACATTCATAACTATTCCGTCCACAGGTGCGACACCAAAGCCGCTCCATGCGATCAGATCAGGAAGGCAATGCGCACTCGCTCCATGCGATCAGCTCAATCCCCATAACAGCCGCAGCAAATCAGGAAGGCAAAAATCAATTTCCATAACAGCCGCAACAAATCAGGAAGGCAAAAATCAATTCCCATAACAGCCGCAGTAAATCAGGAAGGCAAAAATCATGAAAATTCCTAGACCATTTTTTATGCAGTACTCTAAGGCTCAACGGTTGATTGTGTGCCTTATCAGTCACGGTCTATGGCTGTCAAAAAATCAAAGTTATCTTCGACATGAATCATACATTATGCATCGCTTCTCTGACTGAAACACCTAGCTAATCAACTTAATTACAAAATATGTCAAGGTACCCAGTACACCTTTGATGCGTTCGTTGCTTTATTTTGCCCTTATTAGAGGCTTTACATACTAGGCATGCCACATAATATAGTATTCATTTAATTTTTCATAATAAGACATTAATACCTGTTGTATGCATCTTAGGTTCCTGAAGGTACCTAGAGAGATTCTTTTCTGGTGAATGGTGTTGTATTCAAGAAGACATTTTTATATGCTGAATTTGAGCAGCAACCAAAGAAGTTTCTGAATCCGAAGATTCTTTTGTTAACATTGAACTATAATTGAAATTTGAGTAGAAAAATGCAGAGATCAGGTATTTATACCGATTCACTCAAGGCTCACTGCTATAGAACAGAATGTGTGCTCCATTCTTTACTTATGTTGCTTTATATGATTTTCAATGTTTGCTCATATTAGCTCCATGTTTCCAACATACCTGTAGATTATCTGACCCTCTGCAATACCAATCAATTGTCGATGCTGAATGAACATTATTTATGATAAAACCGGATAAATGTGTGAAACCGAGTGTTTTTAATATTTTTGTTAGGTATATTATATCTCTTACAAAATCGTATGGTTTACCACAAAATTCTAAACACAATACATGGACTCGGGTGCGAGTGTATGTGTTAGGGTCGGGCTCGCTTGGACACCCTTCTCAAACATCATCGTCCCTATTGCATGGTTTAGCAAATTTTCTTTATTGGCGCACGAAAGAAATGGATGTCGAAGATTTCTTCTTGCCGACATAAAACATTATCTTAGCCGCATCACGGAAAGGATATCAGATATTTCTTCCTACCGATGTAAAACATTATCTTAGTCGAATCACGTAAAAGCTTATACAGTTGAGTTAGTGAGCCTGCGACGCCGTGCTCTCTGCTATTTTCATAAACTTTGTATTTTAAATTAAATGTCACTATAACTTCGGTATTTAGGGCGTGCTTAGTTGCACGCCACAACCAGCCACGCCTAACTGTGGCGGCACCATAATAATTGGCTACTGCTTGCAGCCTGTTCGCTTGCCGTAAACGATCGTAAATTTCCAGCCGGAAACAGTGTTTTTCTCTCACACCAAATCAGCCAGCAGTAAATAATCCATGATACGATATGGCCTCCCGAACAGGCTTGGCGTTCATACCTGGACGTGGCAGCCACACGGAAACCCAGTTCACTTTTGCGCTGTGGCTCGCCTAACTGTGGCGCTGTTTTTTTACGCCACAACTGTGGCGGTGGCGAACGTGTGGAGTGCGGCCTGCGTCCAGGCCCTTAATTTCATAGTATTATTAACTTATCATACGATCCGTATGTTTTTAATATAAAAGTTTAGCTATCCCGTAGCAACGTACGAGTACGACCCTAGTATATATATATATATATATGAGTAAAGAAACGCTCGTTAAATTAAGATTCTTGAGACTGCTAATAAAAAATTTACATACATACATACTCCCTCCGTACTCGTAAAGGAAGTCGTTTAGGACAAGGTTTGAGTCAAACCTTAGAAATATAAATCATGAATAACTCTCAAGTTGTTGAGTTTGAAAATGTGAAAATTATATGAATAGATTTGTCTTGAAAAATAGTTTCATAAAAGTATACATATATCACTTTTTGATAAATATTTTTATTGAAACAAGAAGTTAAAGTTGTATTTTGGAGACCGTGTCGCTGTCCAAAACGACTTTCTTTACGAGTATGGAGGGAGTATACTCCATCCATCTCTAAATAACTGTCGCTTTTTTTATTTTTGTGCTTTTTTTTATTTTTGTGCCATAAGTTTGACTGATTTGTAGAAAAATA